GCAAAGGCTAATCAATAAAGTCCACCTCGAACTCGAATTCGATAGATTGGCTACATACATTCTACCATCAATTCAAAATTAAATAATAACAATACACAAACATGTAGCGCGAACACAACTTTAGTGGGTACATAGGATAAGCAAGAGCATAGGATAAGTGAGAGCATAGGATAAGTGAGAACATAGGATAAGTGAGAACATAGGATAAGTGAGAACATAGGATAAGTGAGAACATAGGATAAGCGAGAACATAGGATAAGCGAGAACAAAGGATCAGTGAGAACATAGGATAAGTGAGAACATAGGATAAGTGAGAACATAGGATCAGTGAGAACATAGGATCAGTGAGAACATAGGATCAGTGAGAACATAGGATCAGTGAGAACATAGGATCAGTGAGAACCTAGGATCAGTGAGAACCTAGGATCAGTGCCGGAGAACCTAGGATCAGTGAGAACATAGGATCAGTGAGAACATACGATCAGTGAGAACTTAGGATAAGTGAGAACATAGGATAAGCGAGAACATAGGATAAGTGAGAACATAGGATAAGTGAGAACATAGGATAAGCGAGAACATAGGATAAGCGAGAACAAAGGATAAGCGAGAACAAAGGATAAGCGAGAACAAAGGATCAGTGAGAACATAGGATAAGTGAGAACATAGGATAAGTGAGAACATAGGATCAGTGAGACCATAGGATCAGTGAGAACATAGGATCAGTGAGAACATAGGATCAGTGAGAACATAGGATCAGTGAGAACCTAGGATCAGTGAGAACCTAGGATCAGTGCCGGAGAACCTAGGATCAGTGAGAACATAGGATCAGTGAGAACATACGATCAGTGAGAACATACGATCAGTGAGAACATAGGATAAGTGAGAGCATAGGATAAGTGAGAACATAGGATAAGTGAGAACATAGGATAAGTGAGAACATAGGATAAGTGAGAACTTAGGATAAGTGAGAACATAGGATAAGTGAGAACATAGGATCAGTGAGAACTTAGGATAAGTGAGAACATAGGATCAGTGAGAACTTAGGATAAGTGAGAACATAGGATAAGTGAGAACATAGGATCAGTGAGAACTTAGGATAAGTGAGAACATAGGATCAGTGAGAACCTAGGATCAGTGAGAACCTACGATCAGTGAAAACATAGGATCAGTGAGAACCTAGGATCAGTGAGAACCTAGGATAAGAGAGAGCATAGGATAAGAGAGAGCATAGGATAAGCGAGAGCATAGGATAAGCGAGAGCATAGGATAACTGAGAGCATAGGAGAAGCGAGAGCATAGGATAAGCGAGAGCATAGGATAAGCGAGAGCATAGGATAAGTGAGAACATAGGATAAGTGAGAACATAGGATAAGTGAGAACATAGGATCAGTGAGAACATAGGATAAGCGAGAACATAGGATAAGCGAGAACATAGGATAAGTGAGAACATAGGATCAGGGAGAACTTAGGATCAGTGAGAACATAGGATAAGTGAGAACTTAGGATAAGTGAGAACATAGGATAAGTGAGAACATAGGATAAGTGAGAACATAGGATAAGTGAGAACACAGGATCAGGAAGAACATAGGATCAGCGAGAACATAGGATCAGCGAGAACATAGGATCAGCGAGAACATAGGATCAGGGAGAACATAGGATCAGCGAGAACTTAGGATCAGTGAGAACATAGGATCAGTGAGAACATAGGATAAGTGAGAACATAGGATAAGTGAGAACATAGGATAAGTGAGAACATAGGATAAGTGAGAACATAGGATAAGTGAGAACATAGGATAAGTGAGAACATAGGATAAGTGAGAACATAGGATAAGTGAGAACATAGGATAAGTGAGAACATAGGATCAGCGAGAACATAGGATCAGCGAGAACATAGGATAAGCGAGAACATAGGAGAAGCGAGAACATTGGATAAGCGAGAACATAGGATAAGCGAGAACATAAGATAAGCGAGAACATAGGATAAGTGAGAACATAGGATCAGTGAGAACATAGGATCAGTGAGAACATAGGATAAGTGAGAACATAGGATAAGTGAGAACATAGGATAAGTGAGAACATAGGATAAGTGAGAACATAGGATAAGTGAGAACATAGGATAAGTGAGAGCATAGGATAAGCGAGAGCATAGGATAAGCGAGAACATAGGATAAGCGAGAACATAGGATAAGTGAGAGCATAGGATAAGTGAGAACATAGGATCAGGGAGAACATAGGATCAGTGGGAACATAGGATCAGCGAGAACATAGGATCAGCGAGAACATAGGATCAGCGAGAACATAGGATCAGCGAGAACATAGGATCAGCGAGAACACAGGATCAGCGAGAACAGGATCAGCGAGAACATAGGATCAGCGAGAACATAGGATAAGTGAGAACATAGGATAAGTGAGAACATAGGATCAGTGAGAACATAGGATCAGTGAGAACATAGGATCAGCGAGAACATAGGATCAGCGAGAACATAGGATCAGTGAGAAGATAGGATAAGTGAGAACATAGGATGAGTGAGAACATAGGATAAGCGAGAACATAGGATAAGCGAGAACATAGGATAAGTGAGAACATAGGATAAGTGAGAACATAGGATAAGTGAGAACATAGGATCAGTGAGAACATAGGATCAGTGAGAACATAGGATCAGTGAGAACATAGGATCAGTGAGAACATAGGATCAGTGAGAACATAGGATCAGCGAGAACATAGGATAAGTGAGAACATAGGATAAGTGAGAACATAGGATAAGTGAGAACATAGGATAAGTGAGAACATAGGATCAGTGAGATCATAGGATCAGTGAGAACATAGGATCAGTGAGAACATAGGATCAGCGAGAACACAGGATAAGTGAGAGCATAGGATAAGTGAGAGCATAGGATAAGTGAGAACATAGGATAAGTGAGAACATAGGATAAGTGAGAACATAGGATAAGTGAGAACATAGGATCAGTGAGAACATAGGATCAGTGAGAACATAGGATCAGTGAGAACATAGGATCAGTGAGAACATAGGATCAGTGAGAACATAGGATCAGTGAGATCATCGGATCAGTGAGAACATAGGATCAGTGAGAGCATAGGATAAGTGAGAGCATAGGATAAGTGAGAACATAGGATAAGTGAGAACATAGGATAAGTGAGAACATAGGATAAGTGAGAACATAGGATAAGTGAGAACATAGGATCAGTGAGAACATAGGATCAGTGAGAACATAGGATCAGTGAGAACATAGGATCAGTGAGAACATAGGATCAGCGAGAACATAGGATCAGCGAGAACATAGGATCAGCGAGAACATAGGTTCAGCGAGAACATAGGATCAGCGAGAACATAGGATCAGCGAGAACATAGGATCAGCGAGAACATAGGATCAGCGAGAACATAGGATCAGCGAGAACATAGGATCAGTGAGAACATAGGATCAGTGAGAACATAGGATCAGTGAGAACATAGGATAAGTGAGAACATAGGATAAGTGAACATAGGATCAGTGAGAACATAGGATCAGTGAGAACATAGGATCAGTGAGAACATAGGATCAGTGAGAACATAGGATCAGCGAGAACATAGGATCAGCGAGAACATAGGATCAGCGAGAACATAGGATCAGCGAGAACATAGGATCAGTGAGAACATAGGATCAGTGAGAACATAGGATAAGTGAGAACATAGGATAAGTGAGAACATAGGATCAGTGGGAACATAAGATCAGTAGGAACATAGTATCAGTGGGAACATCTGATAAGTGAGAACATAGGATCAGTGGGAATATAAGATCAGTAGGAACATAGTATCAGTGGGAACATCTGATCAGTGAGTGCACAGGATCAGTGAGAACATAGGATCAGATTTTGAATTTTTGCTGGTAAACTTCCAGTGCCAAAGAATTTCGGAGTTCGATTGCGACGATACGTTTTCGCCCCCAAAACTGGAGGACTGAATCTTCGCGGACGGCACAATAACAACTGGGGGAAATAACTCTGTAGAGACGACTTGGCAGCGAGAACGGAAACTCGTCACGATTTTCTGGTACACGGAGATCTGCTTCGAGCGAGCTTATACGGACGTCAAGGATAAGACAATCTCTGGTTCCACAGTACTTTTATTCTAGGTCAGGCCAACAAGCGACATGACCTCTAGCATACTCTAGTTTGTAATCATCAAAGCTGTACAAGGTACTTGCTTAAGAAGTAACTGGTGCGAAGTGCTATTGTTACACAAATCGCAATATTTGAATAAGGACACAAAGGAGCGGAAAAAAATCTCTTTGAAGTTAAACGAAAACTACTTAATTATCCCATCTGTTTCTACGACGGAAAGTATCTCAAAATTAAAAAGACGGATGCAATAAACTCTAGGCCATTAAAGTAGGAAACCTAGGTGCGAATTTACAGCTCTGATATAGAAAACAATACCCATCTTAATTGCAGTAGCGCAGCTCAGGAAATAGAAAACGGAAAAGCAATTAAAAGTTTCTGCCTATTTATGCAAGATTGGTTTGGAAACCATTGCATGAAAAGAAATTAAATTTACGAGTATAAACTCAGCTGCTATCTACCATGAAAACCAATGTTTCCAGAAAGACCATTAACACCTATATTTACCTAAAAAAACTACGTAATAAATAACAAAAGTGCCGACAAGCAGGTACATATGATGAAAGCGAGTAACAACAAAAATCTATTCAAAAGCTACTGTGGTTTTTATGCATATTTTTGATTTATTGAAATGAAAGGACTTGAAATGGTTAAACGTAAAAGTTTACGAATAAATATGCTCCGAATAACACACACGGGAAAATCAGTAAATTTTCCCGTAACACGATGGTGATGGATAACGCTTTACGCTGAAGTAATACATAGATACTTTTAAAAACACACGCATACGTTTGTATGTGCAAACAAACCTCTCTCTCCAACCAACCTTCTCAGTTCAACAATCCACTATGGTGTCGTTTCCCGTTCTTTCAATCTGCATAGCATGGTGTCCCACGTATATGAATGGGTGGGTTCCTCAGACATTACGCCAGAGTACTTTCAGCTTTGTGCGTTTGATAGTAAGTGCCTTTTTCCGTCCGAATCTGTTGCAGTAGTCGACAAACAAAAGCGTTACATGGCTGAAAGCGAAGATATGCCTAATCTTTTGGAAGAATACCCGGAGATGAATTTTATGGGTTTTGGAAGTACTGCATACAGATTCAGTGACACCATACCCCTAGACTCCACAATGTCGCAACCTTCATCTTTCCTCGCTGTCTCTCCGGTTCCTGGCCTCCCACCAGAACAGTTGATGTACGGCGACGATCTAACGTGAGTATCTTGACTTTACACGGCTATTCGCTTGGAGTCGTCACCTACTCCATGTCTGCACGTTAAAAAAATAAGCTGGTATAAAAGTATAGAACGAATTTCTCCCTCACGGTGACGGGCTGGTATTACGGTCTGAAGTTGGATCTTGCCACACGGCTGCGTGTGAAGGTTAAACGTAATCTTTCCTGTCTGCAAGTACAGGCATATGTTATGAGAGTTGCTTTCACTTCAATGTTCTGTCATCGCCAGTCTCTTTCATCGTTGCAGGGAAATCGTTAGAGCCAATCCCTACAGAAATTCAAAGCAGAAAAGAAAAAAAGAAGAACGTGAGCAGACATTGTCTGACTGCGGGATTTTGTCTGTAGTTTTGTAGATTTTTGTCTGAGTTCATTGAGATATCCTGAATGTTTAGTAGGAACCCCGTAATGATTTCTCCTTCTTTTTATTCAGGATCCTGGGCGTCAGTTTCGCATGGTGGTCAATTCAGGCACTCTTTGTGCTGATAGTGATAGAAGTGGGGTCTTCGGTCTTGACCTCCGACAATGGATAAAAGTGTTCTGTACAGATATCTCTAGTTGCGTTTTGAATAACGGATACGCCTCAAAACATTTTCATCTAGAACGCGGGGTGCGTCAAGGTTGCCCACTTTCCGGCACACTATTCGTTATTGCTATTAAGTTACTGGCGCAAAGTATTAGACGCTCAAAAGAAATAAAAGGTGTTACGAAAGATGAACATAATGAGGTTAAACTTTCGCAATATGCAGATGGCACAACTGTACTTCTTTCTGATGTCCAATCAGCGTCAAAATGATTTGATTTATAATCGCTTTTCGAAAGGTGCTCTGGTCTAAAACTAAATCAAACAAAATCTGAAATGCTATGGCTTGGCTCTATGCACCGCAGGAAAGATACCATACTTGATCTCCAAATGAGCGGCAAGCCAGTTTACGCGCTTGGGGTGCATTTTACATATGATCTAGAAGTGTCTGAAAAGAAAAATTTTTTTGACAAATTAGAATCTTTAAAGAAAACATTGAATATGTGGTCCCAAAGAGACCTCTCCATCGTTGGTAGGATAAATATAATTAAAACATTAGCACTTTAAAAACTGGTCTTTATCTGCAGCGTCATGAACACCCCTAAAGACTTCAGTAAAGAAGTAAACAACATCACGTTCGACTTTATTTGGAATCACAAACCCGCCAAAATAAAAAAGACTACCCTTATTAAGCAAACAACAGCTGGTGGCTGGGACATGAAGGATTTTTCTCTCTTCGACAAAGCGCTTAAGTTAAACTGAGTGAAACGGTTATGCTCTAACTCGGATGCTCCATGGCAGTACATACCAAAATCGCTCCTAGCCGATGTTGGCGGTACAGAACTGTTTAAATGTAGTTATGATTATAATCTCCTTGACAACCATCTTCCTGCTTTCTACAAACAAATCATTTTTTACTGACATCGCAACGGCCACACCTAAAAATAAAAGTGAGGTTCTCTCACAGCCAATCTGGAATAACCGATTTTTAACTGTGAATAAGAAAATGGTATTCTTTCCTCATTGGTATCAAGCAGGAATAAAACAAATCTCGGACCTTTTTGACTCCTGTGAGGGCCATTTCCTTCCATTTAATTCTTTTTGCACTAAATTCAATGTAAAATGTAACTTTTTACAATGTTATAGCACTCTTTCTTCTATTCCCCAAAATTGGAAGAAACTATTGCAAGAAGGTTCCAAATACCCAGTTACGCCTCCCACCTCAATCTGTTCACTGTCATGCAAGACAAAATACAGTACGCTGCCTAACCTTGAAGATCTACCTCCACCAACTTCTGAGAGAAAATTTTTAGCGTTTGGCGTCGAGAAAAGTGACTTGACTAAAATCTACCTCCTACCATTCAAAGCCACGAGAGAAGTTAAATTGACGATGTTCCAATACAAAATCATTCACCAAATTTTACCAACGAATAGCTTGTTACACAAAATGAAAAAAGTTGCCTCGCCCTCGAGCTCCTGTCCCTTTTGTCCTTCTGAGTGTCAGACCCTGTGGCATTTGTTTATAAACTGCATGCACGCAAGTTCTTTTTGGAATAGATTCCAGGAGTGGTACTCAATCTCTAGTAATACGAAACTGCTGCTGTCAGAACTAGAGGTTTTGTTTGGAATTACTCGCTGTCACACCTACTGTTTAGCCCTCAACCACCTCATTATTTTGGGTAAATATTTCTTATATGTCAACGCTTTAAATACTATAACGTACCAATTCGATGATTTTGTCTCACTTGTGCGCGAAAAAATTAATCTAGAAAAATATATTGCAGTCACTCGTAATAAGGAGAAGGAATTTAGGAATAAATGGAAATTTTTTTCTGTCTTTCTAAAATTGTATTGTGTCCTTTTTCTTCTCAACTATTGTATTTTGATTTGTTTCTTTTCGCTACCTATTTATTTAATAATCTATTAAATTCTAGAAAATTAATACCCTATGTAGTGTAATTAACAAACAAAATTCTTATTAGCGACTCGAACAATTAACATGCAAACAATAACGTAAATAGATCAACTGTAATTCAATTTGACTAGTATAATTGTATTGTAACATATGTATTGTAAGTAGTGCAAGTTAATGTAGTGTAAGCATCGTGTAAGAAGTAAGTATAGTGTAAGTACATATGTAAGTATAATCCATGTTAGACTAGTACAGTCGAACCTCGATTATCCGGACCCCGATTATCCGGACTTTCTTCTCTGGTCCCAATTTTCCATGAATATTAATTAGTTGTGATCTTGAAAACTCAAAGTCGCAAAAAGCCCAATAAACCTTTCAAAAGACTGTTGAAACAGCGTATTATTCTGTGCGCTTTTCAAAATTCGAAAGTGCGACGAGACAAAGAAATATTCTGATGCTTTCTGCCGATATATGGTTGGCTCAATTGTTTTGTTGCCAAGGGAATTTCATGCTTGATTAGTTCCTTCCACGTGGGTTATGTATCACACGAGCGATCGATCGTAAACTCAAATCAAAAACATGCCTACGAAGCGAAAGCTAGCCGTTATATTGATTAAAGATAATCAGATAATTATTTCACATTTCTATCTTATTAATCTTCATATTTTCTATTATCCGGACTCTCGATTATCCGGACTATTTACCGAGGTCCCGATGATTCCGGATAATCGAGGTTCGACTGTACTTAGTTCTATTCCGTGTGGTGCAAAGCTGGTCTCATAGCTGTTAACCGGTGTAACCTAGCTGGGTACCCCTTTTCTTGTCCACACAACACAAACGTGAAGAAGCCAAGTAATTGTCACAATAAATTTTTATGCGAGTCCAGAGAAGAAAATACTGCCTGACGATAATATTGTATTGTTTTTGACATTAACCATGATTAAAATGACAGAAAAGCAGCGTGCAAACAAAGCAATGAGTCATTTAACCTGATAAAATACAGCTGAATACAATACACGGATAAGTTCGTTTCCCTACAAGTTATCTTATTTCATAATACGTGGTATATGGCCATTACATGAATGTCTTCCTTTTCTGTACTCTGAGGATAAGAAGAACAATGGTGTATCGTGACATGATAGAAGCATTCCAGGCAGAAAACATCATGACCCCCCTGAGCTGATAATTGTGATGGTCGACGTAAGAGGACAGGAAGAACGCGGGGTTGACGTTGGTGGTGTCTATCGCGATGCTAATGCCTGCTTCTGGCAGGAATTTTATGATTCATCGACCCTTGGTGAAAGAGAAAGGGTTCCAGACCTGAGACATGACTTCCAACCCAGTGAGTGGTCAGCTACAGGAAGAATTCTCACAAAGGGTTACTTGGATCTGGGCTATTTCTCTTGTACGCCCAACCAAGCGTTCATTGTAAGTGTGATATTCGGTGAGAACGCAGTTGCTAAGGAGATTCTTCTTAAATCGTTCCGTAATTATATCGCCAAGGATGAAGAGGACGTTGTTGCTGAGGCGCTCAAGGGAAATTTTGACTCCGACGAGCCGATCGATGTTATTTGTAGGTTTGGTTGTAGGAAAGTCCCGACAATAGAAAATGCCAGAGATCTTATTCTCGAAATGGCTCATAAAGAAATGATTCAGAAGCCCCAGTACGTGGCTGATGCGTGGCGAGAAGCCCTAGTGATACTGAATAGCAAAGAAGAACTGACCAAAATCCAAAGTCTGTGTCATTTGTACCAGACAGTTGTGCCCAACCATGATACAGGCAAATCCTCAAAACAACCCGTTGAGGGCGGTAACTGAGTTCCTGAAATGCTTTGTGAGAGTAATGGATAAAGCTCAACTGAAATCTTTCTTGAGATATGTGACAGGCGCCGATGTCATCTGTATACCATGTATTTCAGTCCAGTTTTTAACCTTAGATGGATTCGCTAGACGACCAATCGCACATACCTGCGGGTCTGTTCTGGAGCTCCCGTTTACAATGACACAGAATGTCGGGAAGAGTTCAACAATATTCTTGTGAAGACGAAGTGGCAAAATGACATAATGTAACCGTATTTTGTCCGAACCAGTCTGCTCCATGCCCGTTATACTTAAATGGGAAGTGCGACTTTGTTTTGTTTAAGAATTGTTAACTTCATGGCAGATAACAAATTTAAAAGCAGGCCTTTCAACTGAAAAAATACGTTTTTTGCCTTTTACACAGCATAGACTGACAGTGGTGCTTTAAAACGCGTACGTTGATTTATCTTTGGTTTCTGTTTTCAAGAGTTGACCCGAAGCTGTTATGACTGAGCTGAGTTACCCTATTATTTTCTCTATCCAGAGCCCCGGCCGGTTAATATTAATAGTTTGGTTCCGTTTGGAGGTTAACATGAACAATCTTTTGGGAGGAGAAAGTACTTTTGGGGATAAAAGCAACGTACAATTGCATTGTCGTGTTAGACGTAGTGCACCCTATCAAAAAAAGAACGCTTTGAGTTACATGACCATTCTACAGTGTTCATTTAAGCTGTACTTAACACCTATCCCACGGGTGAACCCACCATGACGAGCCCAAGATTCCTTTTAGCGCAAGCTACCAGTCCTCCTTTTTCAACGGAAAAACCGGTTTAAAGGTTTGCGAAAGAAATACAGTTTCCGGCAACAAAAAATTTCTGACATAGGTCAAAGCACTTTTTTTCTGAAAACATTGTTTCTTAGGTGGGTAACATGAAAATCCCTCTGGAGACGTGCTTTTATTAGCTATTCGTTCAGTAACTATATTTATTAATCATTGTTATTTACGATGTTTAAATTAATTATAGAGATATCAGGGGCAAATTGGAGTGGCTAAAACGTTGCGAGAAATATAACGCTGTAGAAATCTCTTTGATGCCAAGAATATCCGATACAGTTTCGTGTAAAACTAGAGCTAAGTGTTCCAGTTGAGCTGTTAGAAAGTTCTTCTACTACAGTTTTGAAATGTGTGATTTCACACCCATATCACCGTGCATCTACGACTATCACTAAATGCTGTCTTCTATGTCCTTAATACAGCTTAGTAACTGTATACAAAGAAATCTGGCTTCATCATGACATCGAGGCAATGTTAATCCTTGCTCTCGCATAATGATGTCAGCCAGATCTTTAAAACTCTGATGAACACGTTGGGAGATGGTTTGTACAGCGCACCTCTTTGGCTAATTCGACGTCCTCCAAATCAACACGCGTTTAAAACTCTTGAGTTTCGGTAATATCTGGCAGAAAATAAAGTATGTCCGGTCGTCCAGGTGGTGATTCTGGATTCGAGGATGGTCTTATCCTATGAACATTCCCAAATCTAGCTGCCCCATGCAGTTCATCTTGCAAGATAGACGTGTAGAGGAACCCGAGACATTGCGCATGAATTACGTCGCTGTCACAGTACAGCCCACTCTCTCTCATATCTTTGAAGTATGTTATCCACCAAACAGCACACCCCTTTCGTAACTGACCCCACTCAACTCGGTCTCAACAGCCTGAAAAACAGCATCGATGTCACTAGGGTTATGCCTTCTACGTAATCCTCTGTGAGCCAGATTCTCTTCAGCTGACGCAGACTTAAAACAGTGCCGTGCGAGAGCATAAGGAAGGCTAAGACTTCACGATATTGAAGCCCAAGCTGAAAGTAACTCTCGATAAGGTCATCGCGCTCAACGTAGCCTGGCTGAAGTACAGGTATATATCGTGGAAGGACTGCTTTAGATTGAGGCAATAAAGCAAAGATTATTCGGAAAGTTGTTTCAATTACTTTAAGCAGCTTCTCCTTCGACGCCATATTTTCCATGTCCGTTCGTCTCTGAGCCTGCGGTGAGTGATGTTTACACTTACATGCTCAAAAGTCGTGAAAAAAAGAATTGTAAAAAAAATGGGAAAAAAAGTCGGAAAAAAGGGGACTGTAAAAAAGAATCGCGAAAAAGAGTCGCGGAAGAAAAAGGAGAGTGAAAGTTTTGGATGGCACTGAAGGGGCTCAGTAAACCCTAGATTCTATCGCATAAAAACTGTATCGTGTTAGACTGTTTTTAACACACCTCTTCAGATAACAGTCGAGCGATCCTATCGAGCCGCCATGTTTGTTAACACTTTTAAACCTCGTGCTATGTTCGCACCCAGATCTCCCTGGGTCAAAAAACCCCATGGAGCCTCCTTAATCTGAATGATTAGTCAAATTGGAGGGCTGAGGATCCAAAGAAGGCTTTTGTTTGCACTTTCAGTCTTACCCTGATCAAGCTATCTAATCTATCCAAGTAAGGAAATAATGTGTTAAGTTAGGTGAATCGATGATCAAAAACAAATCTATAGATAACCACTGAAGTAATGAAAAGGAAGAAAACTTTCATTCACAAAGTGACTTTCATCCAGGAGAATAAGAAGGTTTACGTGTACATACGACAATATACTTCTTCAGAAGATCTTCAACTCACAACTTCTAAACGATTATGAATACATTGGAGGACTTAGAAATTCTATGTGAAGATGAAACAAGAGAGGAGTTTGGGGTACGGAAAATTCGAGATAGCTATGCAAACCTGAGACGGAGTCGAAAGTTTGGGAAATTCACCAGAATTCCCTCCGATTGCTAAGATGCTTATGAGGCTATGCAAACTGAATCTATAGACCGAGGTACTTCTCCTAACCACGCGCAAATGAGAGCATACGTGGTATTTCAGCTACTTCATAACTATCGCATGCATGTTATGAGGTTTTTCGTTGCGTTGAAGAGTCGAGAAGAACAAAACAACAATTACACCAACAGCAAAAGATGACAAAAAGAATTTACTGAATGCATCCATGAAACAAAATTATGGCTGGAGAGAAATCAACGGAAAAGACACCCATTTTTGGACTATTTCTCTTGTGACGTCTAGGACTGGACCAAGGCTTTCGACAAGTATTTTCACTGATAAGGTCATAAGCTTAGTTCTTGATAAATAGCTAATATATTACATAGAGAATAATACATGGGTGCGCGTAGATATGGAATTTTTCTTCGAGTTGAACGCAGCATTACCAGCTAGAAAGTGGGAGATGGGAGAGCCACCTCACTTACAATAATAAGTCAAGTAAAGAAAAAGTGCTATGAATGTGCGGCTTGGCCAATTCAGCGAATATTTAAGTAAAAACTCTCGTATTTTCGTCTTAAAGCTAGGAAAGTTTGACGACCGAGTGACTGAAACAGGGAGAGAATTTGAACGTCACTGTCTGTAAGCGATATGGATTTTTCAGTGGCTTTTCTCAGGGCTAGAAATCCATGTATAGCACCGTGGTTTATATGATAAATATTTTTCTTAGCCTGGTGGTTGAAGGACATCATTAGGTCTGGATACCTGTAAGTTAACAGCAAACTTCATAGAAGCATGGTGTGTTTATGCTATCGATGTTTCGGAGAGTGCTCTTTTGCGCTCCGGGTACGTAAAAGTTGGCGCTCGAAGCAGTTCAGTCCAGGCAGGAAGTTTAACAATATTTCTCGCCCCCTAAGATTTGTGGCTCATTTGGCATTGGTTCTTAACGGATTCGCTGCGAAAGTGAGAACTGTTGTTAGATTTATTAAAGATTTCTTCCTCAGGAAAGCAAAACTATTCATTTAAATTCGATTATTTCCCAGAATGCATTGCGACACCAAGAGTGTTCCTACAAATAAATCATCGTGGCAGAACTTTACTAGTTATCAGTCAGTTCAGCACAAAATACTGCAGCTACAACAAAATAATTGTTTGTTCTCAACGGCCTGGAAGCCAAGACAGTTTCTCGCTCCAATAAGGAACGCGGCTTTTCGAAAAAAAAAACAAAACAAAACAAACAAACGCACATGCAAGGTTGTGATCAGCAATCGTAGTATTCAAAGGAATAATAATAGGAATAGGAATAATAATACCCTAAGAATAATAATACCCTAAGAACCACATGTGATTAATCCGTCCTCAACGTTAGTCCTAATCATTATGTTAGCGTTAACGCAATACATTTCGAGTCGCTCGTGGAGGTCTGCAAAATGGCATCTATCTGGTAACCTAAATAGTTTCTCGTTCCGAGAAGGAACGAGAATGGCAAGGAAGGGTAAAGATTGCAGCCGATTTTGAAAAAAACTTGCAAGGCTGTGATTAGCGATCATACCATTCAAATTCAAATGCCTTTCTTCGTGTTTAGAACCATGCGCGATTACACTGTTCTGGACGTTGGTCCCAATCGTTATGATGGCGCTAGTGCAATTTATTTCGAGTCGCTTGTCGTAGTATGTAAAATTACCTATATCTGGAAACCAAAAGAGTTTTTCGTTCCAAGAAGGAATGTGGATGGCAAGGAAGGGAAAAGATTGGGGCGGATTGTGTCAAAAACTATGCAAGGTTGTGCTCAGTGATCGCACCATTCAGATTCAAATGCATTTCTTCGTCTCGCTTCGTAGGAAAGCAATATATGCGATTTGAAAATTCTGCTCTCCAACAAGCGGCAGCGGAAAAATGGTGGGCTGCAAATGTGTCGTAAGTTAGAGACATATGCTAATCACAAATCCTATCGTAGAGCAAAAGAAAGGAAAACATAGTCGCCGGCAGTGTTGCCATATCATTGACCTCCCCAATAAAATACCCAGGAACCCAAACTGATCTGCAGTTTCTTTCATTCCATCTGTTTGAGTGGACTTCCTTTTAATTTGTTTAACTATTTAGGGATGTAGTTGGAAATATACTTGCGGAATGTGGGCGATTGACACAAATGACTGATTAAGGGTGTATATCGCAACGTAGTTACGAAACCTTGGTGGTTTTTAAAGCTTTCTTTTCATTCTACGGCCGGACAAGAAACTGTCGATTAAAGGGACGAGCGGCTTATATGAGAGGCAAAATTGTGTTCACTTAGTGAGCTGAAAAGATTTGTTTTTGGTCGATAATAGAGTAAACATGCGAGCGCCTTTGTGTGCATGTATGAATGAGCGCGTCCGACACTATTAGTGCTCTTACGGCGTTTTAATACGCCCTAAAATTTCATGGAGCAGTTTTTACTGTTTTTTTTTCATTATGATTAAAGAGAAAGTGAAACTACTTGTTTTAAAAAATTTTTCAATCTAAATATTTTCATAAAATTCTTGCATTCTATGTTGCTCATAAAAATATTGGCGCCGCAGAAGCATAACTTCGAGGAGGGGATAAATTTTTTTTTCGAGTCGATGAGGCAAGTGATGGCGAGAAGATTTTAGATTGAACGTAGCGAAGCAAGAGAGAACATCACATCTGGGAGGCAGCCTCGAGGGAACACAAAATCAATGGTTCCTTTTTATGGTTTAGTGTCATTCTAAAAATCAAAACTATACATTAAGAAAATAAATATCAGATAGTAACACAAAAAATCATACTATAATTTAAAAAAATACTTCATCAAATGGGATCTTCTCGTAATCGCATTTTATGGTTATATATGGTTATAGCGGGTTTCGCCCATAACGAGTTTCGCACATATCGTTTCGCCCAGAACGAGAATGGTTTCGCCCAGAACGAGAATGGTTTCGCCCATAAGTAAAACTTCTACACTCTCACTCGGAAAACGTCAACCTTATAAACGTTTGTATGCATAGAATGAAGAAAAGTGACTTGACCTGAGATCATGAAATTTTGAAACGAACAAGTTACTGTTGAAACGAACAAGTCAATTATAGCTTTCACTGTGGAGCGGGGATTGTTAAGGTAATTCGCGCACGAAATACTGCAGAGACGTCCGTTTGTCGTAAAAGCATTGCTATGATTTTTTTGCATCACTTTTCTTCTCGAGAATTAAATTAAACGCTTTTGAAAACACTTGCGCGTGGAACATATCATCGTTGCAAATCTTTTGTACACGGAAGTTAAGATCCGCACGCCGCACGAATCGAATTTATGCCTGGGCGAAACCATTCTCGTTATGGGCGAAACGCTTCTTGGGCGAAACTCGTTATGGGCGAAACCCGCGGATACCTTATATATAAATCCTCTCTTTCTTCTAATTAATTTTACAAAGTATATTAGCGGAGCTCGCAGCGCGCGCAGCGTAGCCCCATAATTATACGAAACAATGGTAACTCATCAAGCCAAAAAAATTTGGACTTACGACCGTACGACCGTACGACCGTACGTACAAGGTGCTACTTTTAGCATGCGCGGCCATCACATTAACGATTGGCACAATTTTCTTTCCCGTTGTTGAAAAATTTCAACCTCTCGCTGCAAGCTTTTTTTATGGAGACCTCCAAAAATTATCTATTGACTTAAAAATTTAACCCTATGGCATCTATAATATAATCAGTTCTCTACACGGACACGGAGAAGTTGCGAATGAAAAGCCATTAATATACGCACGTTATCCATGTTTAGTTTTGTGGAGTGGACGAGACGTGCGGGAAAAAATATGCGAGTTCCGCTTTTAGGCTTGACTAAATC